TCCGATTCTGGAAAGAAAAAGTAAAATCGAGCTGAAAAGTAAAAAAAAAAGATTTGCACACAAGGGGGATTGAACCAAAGTCGCCACATGAAATTCCAACGCACTAAATATTACGCTATCGGGGCCTCTACTCTAAATCTACTTGTATATATCAACGAAACAGTGCTTCTCTCTTAAAATTATGAAAGGCGGGTCACTATTCAAATTTTAGCGCCAAACGCCACGAGTTAATCTTCGCCCCTTTTCTTTGGAATGTTCTATCAAATAGGTGTGATAGCTTCAATGAAATTAAAAAAAAAACGTTCTTATAGCCTAAGATTCGAAGTTAAGAAAGTATGTTTAACACTTTTTACAATGTCCATATTGTACTTATGCATGTAACACTAAAGCGGTGAAACAGATGTGATTTTTTTTTCAATATCTGTTTATCCTCAAAGTGAACTATCCCGAATAGTTCATCGAAAAAGGTTGAAAAGTTTCGCCGGAAAATATGACTCGCCCTACGACGGTCAGCAATCCTTTATCATTTATGCTCAATAACTTGAATCAGGTCATTGAGACAAGAATGCTAAAATAAACTCCATGAAGCGATCTTAAAAAAAATCGTTTTATTATTTTTGTCTAATTTATTAGTTTAAAATGACACAAATGTGCATAGGAAAAAACAGTGATTAATATTTATACTGACAAAATTAATTGATATTCTTGTTTGAGAAAGTATTACTTATGAGTATAAGATCTGTTTTTCCGTGATGCACACAATATATTAGGTATCAAATTTCATTTGAACATTTAGTCTTTTCTTTTTTTACTTTGAAAACCAGCCAAAACCAATTATAGAAGATGTTAGTTTGACACAGAATTGTAACGTAACTACGACGTGACAATCCAAGTAGTCTTTTACATTTCATTTATCTTTATGTTAATTTCGTTAAAGCAAACGCTCGGCTGACTCCGTAAACCCTTATTGCGAAATGTCGGCGTTGACAGAGACAGCCGCCATTTTGAAGCCGCTTCAGATTTTTGAATGCTAATATCTAGAGTTTAGATTTACCAACATTCAAACAAATTATATAGTAAGCATTATAAGGAGTGCTTCTATTAAAATACCAAAAATAAATGAAAAATACTGAAAAACAAAAAAGTTAGAAAATATGATTTTTTTTAATTTGCACCTCGTAACGACCGGAAGTACTGACGACGCACGAAAATGCGATTCTGCAAACCAGAAAGTCATGATCTTTCATCTCCAATAAGTCTTCATATCATATCCTTAGCCATTTTCGACAAAAAGGGGCGACAAAATCGCATTTTAAAATCAGGAAATTGTCCATAACTTGGCACCAGAAGCGATTTTTTCAAATTTCTTTTCGGATGTAACAACTTCATATAATGACACATTTTTTGTGCAACTTTCATGAAAAACCGCTGAATGGTTTTCGAGAAATCGCCTGCACAAAATTTTGTCAAAAAAAGAATAATAATAATAATAATAATAATAACTAGAGCAAAGCTCGTTGCAAAGCAACGAGAAGGTCTTCCGTCCTATTTGACCGGAAGTAGATTTTATTTATAACAAAAATGCGAAATAACGCCCCCAAATAGCTTGAATCCTCTAAAAGTATGTTAATTAATGCAAAAATAAGCCATTTTTAGCAACTTCCGGTCTGACTGGAAGTGACGACGACGGACAGAAAATTAATTTTTATGCCCCCAGAGACATTTGTTACCCCAAAACTTGTCATAAACGGCAAAAATACGTATTTTCAGACTACTTCCGGTTTGGCCGGAAGTGACGTCGCCGGACGAATTTTGACGACGCCAATAGATTGAGCTTGACCTTTTGAACAACTTTGCTTCTTTGACATATTACAAATTCTTTATAAATTTTGAGATATAAAGAAAAAAGTTTCGGTCCCTCTAGGCCCCTTATTTAAGGGGCCAGTCCTTTTTTTGAGATATCATTTGAAAGATCTTAAAATACTGCACTTCTTTTGCTCTATATGTCTTAACAAAATATTTTTAGGTAAAAAGATATCTTCGAAAAAGTGTTACAAATTTTGAAATTCGTGATACGTCTATTTTCGGGCCATAGCGAGCGCCGACGTGCGGCCCTTCTGATTAAAATGAAATACGTTATACATATCTACAGACTTTGGTCTATCATACCTGAAAATTTCATGTTTCTATCATGAGCCATTATAGAGAAAGTCTGCGGACAAACTGACCCTTCAAAAATCATAAAATCGGCAATATTTCCAAACCGGAAGTGACGTCATCAAATCGGAAAAAAATGCATAAGGTTCAAGTAATGTAACATAAGTCCTGAAAGTTTCATTGAAATCCATCGAGCCGTTTTTGAGAAATCGCGTGCACAAAATCGGTAAGAAAAAAAAAGAATAATAAAAGTGGAAAAGAAACCTAAGAATAACAAGAAGGTCTTCCGCTGAAGACGGAAGACCTTAATAATAATAATAATAAGAAACAATAGAATCACTATAAGGTGTTCCGTTGAGACGGAAGACCTTAACTAGAAAAGAAACTCGTTGCGAGCAACGAGAGGTCTTCCGTCTGATTCTGAAAAAAACTCCGAAAAATCGAGCTGAAAAAAAGTGATCAAACTTCTTATGGAAACAAATAGGATTAAACCCGAATTGCCAGTGTGAAAATGCAATGCGCTTACTATATTACGCTATTGGGACTAGAGCTCTAAATGTATTTGTATATACTTCTGCAACAGTACATCTGTCTAAGAATAATGAAAGGCGAATTACTATTCATAATTTTGCGTCAAACGCCACGAGTAAATCTTTGCACCTTTTCTTTGGAATGTTCCATTTATTAGGTGTGATAGCTTCAACGGAAAGAAAAAAAGAACGTTCTTATACCTAAAATATCAAGGTGAAGACAGCATAATTAACACATTTTACAAGTTTCATATTGTATATAAGCAAGTAACACAAAAGCAGTGAAACAGTTGTGCATTTTTAACTTTTTAAAATTTCCTGTTTTTCCCCTAAGTGAACTATCCCGTGTTTCACGTGTTGAAAATCAGAAGGTACCGGTATTAGGTATCGAATTTCATTTTCACATTTAGTCTTTTCTTTTTCTACTTTGAGAACCAGCCAAAACCAATTATAGAAGACGTTTAAAAGGAACAAAGTTCGACACAGAATTGCAACGGAACTACAACGTGACAATTCAAGTATTCCTTTACATTTTATGTTTCCTTGTCTTACTTTCGTTCAAGCAAACGCTCGGCTGACTCCGTAAACCTCTATTGCGAAATGTCGGAGTTGACAGAGACAGCCGCCATCTTGGACCCGCTTCAGATTTTTAAATGCTAATATCTAGAGTTTCGATTTATCAATATTCAAACAAATTATATAGTGAGCATTATAAGAAAGGTATCTATTAACATACCAAAAATGAATGAAAAATATTGAAAAACAAAAAAAGTTAGAAAATATGATTTTTTTAATTTGCATAAGGTGACGAGCGGAAGTATTGACGACGCACGAAAAGGTAATTCTGCAAACCAGAAAGTCACGAACTATCGTCTCCAATAAGTCTCCAGTTCATATCTTTAGTCATTTTCGACAAAAAGGGGCGACAAAATTGCATTTTAAAATCAGGAAATTGTCCATAACTTGGCACCGGAAGTGAATTTTCCAAAAAGCAGAATTTTATATAAAATTCATATAATGACGCATAATTCCTGAAAATTTCATTTAAAACGGCTGAATAGTTCTCGAGAAATCGCCTGCACAAAATTTTGGTCAAAAAAAGAATAATAATAAGAAACAGTAGAATCACTATAAGGTCTTCCGTGAAGACGGAAGACCTTAATAATAAATAAGAAATAATAGAATAATAATAAGAAGAAACAATTGAATCACTATAAGGTCTTCCGTTGAGACGGAAGACCTTAATAAGAAACAGAGTAAAAACAATATGTTCCCCAACTTCGTTTGGGGAACATAATTAAAAATTATTAAAGGAAGTAGGCTTCCACACGTACATGTATGAATTGAACTGCAAATGAATATATAATCACAATTATCGGGTATCACAATAATTCAGTTTCTTTATTTTCTGTGATTGATACTGCTTCCCGTATTTATTTTTTTATACAGAATATTAAACGTAAATTAATTCAAATAGATTTCATCGTTATATTGCTAATGTCCATACTATCGGGATACTCGAAGGGATTTTTGGGGGCTTTTAGAAAATTCTTTTTTATTTTATTTTGACAAGTATTATTTTTCAGTCAATATTATTTTTACTGACATATCAATTTAATCATTGTAAATTTCTCTATTTCTACATTACTTTTTAATTTTATTTGTTAGAATGTACATCTGTAAATCACCAGAATGAAACCATCAGATTATGTTCAAAATTAATTAATCCTGAAAGAAATTCATACACATTTCATTTATCGATTTTATTTTTGCATTACATACCGGTAAATTGAAGTTAGGGTCATTGTTGACCAACATGTTCAATGATGTGAACACTGATATACCTAAATAACATGCAATGGTTTTCTACCCTAAGGCGATGGAAACCGTGGGTGTTGATACCATTTAATAAACATTAATCGGCCAGGTAAACACAAGATAAGAAAAAAAATTAGGCTACTTTGTAAAATGTAGAAAGAGTTTAGGAAAGACAGGGTCTTTTGCAGAAAAAGACTAAAAAAAAATCCCCAAAAAGATAATTAGGCTACTATGTAAAATATAGGGGGAGTTCAGAGAAGAAAAGTGTGACAAAAAGACGGACAGACGGACATTCGTAACAACATATACCCGAACTTTCTTTAGAAAGTGCGGGTATAATAAGAGCTTAAATATATGTTATCATAACCTTTCTAAAATACGTTATGTATACAAAAATAGATAACCAATTTCAAAAGCTATTTCAACTAATGACCTAGCGGATTAATAATTTTAACTTAATGGAGATTCTTAATCTGATTGGATGATTTTTTTCAGATGCTGTAAATATCCATCCTGAAAGATTTATGGCATACATGAAAAATGGGAAGACAACAGTTCGTCATGTACGTGGGATTGTGGTTGGATGTGAAGGAGCAGGGAAAACGACACTTCTATACAGACTGATGGGGAAAAGTCTCAATGAAATCAAAGAAATAAAATCAACCAGAGGACTCCATTTCTACGAACACATCTTTTCTGTGAAAAACGGAGATTTATCAGGTAGTGTTCTTCAACCAGCTATGAATATAATTATTCTTTTTTAAAAAATATTCTAGTTAATTTGAATAATTAATGAACGTAAATATATTTTTGCAAATTTGCCCAATTAGTTATGCCTCCTTTCTTTAATTTTGTTAAATTTATTTCGGCAATCTTAAGATCCAACGAACTGTTGGAAATGGGACTGAAATCTCACCCGGACACTTTTTTTCTGATCAGAGAAAAATGAAGATTTTAAAGTGCTAAATATTGGCATTTTCCTATATCAATTTAATCCTATAGTAAATGTACCTGTATTTATAAAGGACCCTCAAAAAATACCTGGACAGTAGATTTTCCTCAAACTTTGCATGTACATGTACTGAAGCTAATGACATTTATATATGGTAAAAAAAAAATGAAGATTTTCGCTATTGTAGTTTTCACACAATAAAACTATAGTCGGCATTAAGTGAATATATTTTAAGAGAAATCTTATTTAATAAAAAATATCATTGTGTTCAAGAATTTAATTGGACCTTTTTGTTTTATGACGTCACAAACTATTCGGATTTTATAGGGGTTTTATCCATCAAATTCATATATCACAGGTCTGCTTGATCAATATTTATATTTCACATAATATTAAAAATACTAAGTTTTTTCTGAATAAATCATGGAAATTTGGAGGTTTTTTTTCTGTTGACACATCGAACATATAACGTCAGTTTTTTTTTAAATATTCAGTGCTTTGTAATCTAAATGAACATCACCCTGTTTTATAACACTTTATATTTCTCCATCAAAGTTTGAATTTGGGGGCATTATAGAATATGGTCCTTTGTTTTCAATCTTTACAGAGTAAGCAACATATTTATTTATTATCTTATAGACAAAATTTAAATTTTCTTTCAAAATCATCTTGTTTACAAAAATTGATCACCGATTTCGATTTGAGCTGAATATCGCCAAAACATGAAATTAAATGGTCTTAAAATATCTATATTTTTGTAAAATATATGTACATGTATTGTAGCTACGGACGATGAGTTCTTAAGGAAACCATTGATCAGAATTCCAGCATCTGAGATTCAACAGATGGGATCAGACCCCAATGATGACTCAGTGAATATTGAAATGGGGATAGAAACTGAAAACAGTTCTAGCTTGGAAAACAATAAGGTTGATCAGAGTACTGGAAAAGAATTAAATGCAAGGCAGAATACTGAACCGGGTTCACAGAAAAATGAAACAGATGATCAACAGCCTACAGAAAATAAAAGAAGAAAAATGCATGCCGGAGAAAATGACGGTATTGATCAACAATTAGCAAGGGATGTTTTGAAAAAAATATTGGATGACAAGGAAAATGAAATAAGTGTCACCATGATTGACTTTGCTGGACAATTTGCTTATTATGCTTGTCATCAGATTTACATGAGATCAGAAGCATTCTATGTTCTAGTGTTAGATATGAGTAAAGATTTCGAAAACTTCGTTTGTAGTGACAGAGATGAATGTCAGGGCTCCATCTTCTCTACGTGGACATACAAAGGTACGTTTTGAATCCGGAAGCAAGAATCTAAAATATTTTAACTGAAAAATCATGTTCTCTTGAATAAAAGAAGGTCAAACATGATGCATTGAGTATGACATGCCAGAATATTTATTTAAAGAAATAGAAAGAAACTCTTTATTTTTTAACATGTTTCCCTTGAGAACTATTGTACTATATTTCCTTTTCTATTTGCTTTAAAAATCATACATAGCGAGTTCCAGTAAATGTTCAAAGAAACCTCCTTCTTCATGCCTCTCTAAAATATTATCAGTAGTGATTCTGTGACGGAGAAACCTCAGGAGTACTGTGCAACAATATATTCAAGAAGTGATGTAAATCAGATGTAGATACCTTAAAATTCCAAGGAACATTTGCACAATTTTATATCACAAGGTTTTACCAAAATCAACAGCTTTTAAAAACTTACGATTTTTCAGCTTTATACCCATTCCCTTCCCAATATAAATTCAGTCCAGGGTTTTCGATACCATTGACAGCTGCTTTTTCAATAGAAATAGAACTCGTAAATTTAAACATCTTTATCACTTAATTTTACACACACAATCCAAAGATTCTTTATTGCGTTTTCATATATGCTCTTCATTTGCTTTTGCTTAACAAGTTACTGGCTTCGTTAAGGAGGCTCATAACACCACTTTTTGATAACGTACTACACAAAAAAAACTCCATTGTGTCGACCGGTTTCCTCTGGGGATGAATTGTATAAATACCTCAATAATATGACCCCGACCTTTAAAACGCTTTAAATATAGATGAAACATGCGGTGTTATAGGAGTGAAAACAAAGTAACGGATTCATTATGCATTAACCAAGAAGAATTACTTTTACGCAGAAACAAAAGAAAACAACAGTCAAATCTTCGCAAAACAAGTAATGTCAATTTTATAGCGATGCATGCAGTGAGCTCTATTAATCAATGACATGTTTGTATGGATGAAATTCGAGTTATAATCTACAACCTTGTTGAAATTAAAAAGTTATTTACTTGCACTATTTACTGTGTTGGGGTTAATTTATATATTTGCTTTGTTGATTTACATAGATACTCTGGCAATTTAAAGTTTTGTTCTGAATTTTAGATGTTATGTTCAAACGTTCCTCAGTGTTTTGAGTCTTGGGTAATTAGGAAAGAAAACTCTTTAAAGTGGACATTTTATACCAAATAATTTTTGAATTGGAATTTTCATTTGGTTTAAACATTCTTTATTCAATTTGTCACATGTAATTCATTGAAATACATTCTCTGTCTCCTCAGAACTCATTTTCTTAATGTTTTATGCATAGATTAAAAAAATAATGACAATTGTTTTTAGAGGAAAATTATTTTTTCTAATAAAATAATTATTAGGTATTTTAGGGTATTTTCACTGTGTGTACTTATCTTAAGGTCTTCAATCACTAATAGGAAGAAATTCAATGAAATTGAAAACATAACAGATATGTAGGCATTGAATACTTAGTTTATTTAGACATACTTCCCATTTATTACTATAAGTATGTTTAGTGGGATGTGTCCTAATTCATGACCTTGAGTTTGGGTAAGAGTTATCTTCCCCTTTTTTAATAAATAAAAATCAATTAAAAAAAATTAGCTGGTAAAAAAAATTGTTTTCAATTATCATTCTATTATTGATATTTCAATGCATCTTTCCACCACAGGATTTTTTTTATATTCAAATTATTTGAATTTTTATTTTGAAAAACGCTTTTTCCCGTAGACTTCAATGCGATCTTTGTTAATTAATTACTGCTTAATTAATGAACTTTTTAAAAATTTCTTGTGGGCAATCCTTTTCCAGTATAAAATGTTTTAATATGTCCATCTCTGAAATTTTTGAAATTCTGTTAAAAATAAACTTGAAATAAAACATTTGATTAAAATAAGACAAAAAATACAAAATTCTATAAAAAATGTTTATGATATCAATACCCCTATCTGGATATTTGATATCATCATTGTAAGTGGTGCTGTATTGAAATCTAAAATAAACTGTGGATGTAAGAAGCCACCTTAAGGAGGGTTTCTGAATAAATGTAGATGCTTAAAAGTATACACACTATAGTTAGCCGTTGAAATACGATTGGAAATTGATATAATTTGTTTATCAATAAAAGTTACGAAAATACTGTTAATTACACCATTAAAATTAAACGCGTTACAAAGTTATCAAATTATAATTTTTTATTATCCTGCAAGGAAAGAAAAACAGCTATTTTTAAATAAATCCATCACGTGACGCCGTCGCTACTTTTAGATTGATAAACACACGTGGCGTTAAGAAAACAATGTAGGCCGTTTGAGATACTACTCACTTTTAATGTGGATGGAAAGCGTCTTACTTAATGGTACTTATATCTTTTAGTATTCAGTATCAACCATCTTCTCTGTTATGACGCATATTAACCTTGTATTAGTAATTGTTGTCAAAATGCAACATACCTCGTTGTCATTTCCCGTGGACATGTGTTTCTATATATAGGCCTACTGTTTACGCACTTCCTTCATCAATATTCATGAAAAGACTGAATTCTTAATTCCTAAATATTGTTTAATTGTTTTGTTATAACAAAGATCTACAGTACGATCTTGTGGAAAGTATTATTTTTCAAAATTAAAACTATAAAAAAAAAAGTTATCTAAAACTGAATGAAATCTAGCAGGGACTATATTTCGGCGGAATAATTGCATTTCATCAAATACAATAACCGTTTTTAACCAGTTATTATTTGGTACGGATACGCAGCCCAAGTGACCAATCTACTGGGGATGCTGGTTGATTCGATACGCAAGAGCATGCTCTACGTATGAACAATTTCTTAAACGAGGTAAATTATTGACAAGCAAGTTGATGAAACAAGAATATCAACAGTCTCGTTTAAAGTCATGATTTCGTAAATTCTATGGTCGATACAATGACCTTGTCAGCAAATACAATTTATCATTGAACGAAATGCTGACTGACGTTTTTCATACCAATTGTTAGTCCATTATTTATACACTGAATTGACCACGGATTTTTTCCATTATTTCCTGATTATGACAACGAGCACACGGCGGGTGTGACCGGTCGGCAGGGGATGCTCACTCCTCCATGGCACCTGATCCCACCTCTGATGTTTCGGAGGTCCGTGTTTGCTCTGCTCTTATTTTGTATATTTGTTTAATGGACGTTGAGATTGAATACTGTTCGTTATTTCCATATCCTTCTTTAAGCCTATAATAGGTATTTTATGCAACTGCTGAATTTTCTCAATTTTATGTGTTTTGCAAACTTTCTGTTTTAATTTGTTTTGTTTTTAAGACCGATTTCCGTTTGTTAACTTTATCCTCAATTTGCCAGTATCCCTTAAGTTCGTCAAAATCAAAATGAATCGAGTACACCTGACAAACCGGACGTATTTTATAGCGTTTTTGATTTCTCCTTTAACTATTTGTTATAAATTTTTGAATTTAACATGTAACATTTAGTAGTTCTCTTTTCCTTTGTTCCTATCACTTTATAACTTTTTTCTTGGTTCTGAAGAAGAGACAGAGCGTCCCGAAAATTTGACAATTTTTTTTGTTCGTATCGTTGGTCATTTTTAGTGATTTTATATATACATACAATGTATATCGTTAATGTGTTTAAGGGAGGGTGCATGTGTGTATGTGTTATTCTTAATGCATATTATACAATTTGTTTTTAGATTATCTTGACTTCTGGCTTGACTCCATAAAGTCGTTTAGTGGACCTTCTGCACAAGTTCTTGCGGTGGCTACGCATACAGAAGGCAAGACGGGAGAGGTATTTCACAGTTGTTTGATGACTGTTTCCTAACACGTAAACAGTAAATATCCCTAGTAAATTGCATCAAAGTATCATCCGATAAATAACCTTTAATTACTTTTAAAAAAAAATATTTACTATTTACCAATGTTGGAGTTAAAGTTTGAGAAAGAATACGTTGAATAGCAGCTGCTTGATTTTTAGGTCAACTGAGTAAACTCAGGTGACCTATTGCTATCCGTTTTCGTCCGTCGTCGTTCGCCGTGCGTCGTGCGTTATCATTTGAACATTTTCAGCTTCTTCTCTGAAACCACTCAATCAATTTCAACCAAATTTGGTACAAAGCATCTATGGGTGAAGGGAAACAAAAATTGTGAATTTCATGATTCCTGTCCCCCAGGGGCCTGAGGGGTGGGGCCAAAACCACTAAAATTAATGCAATCTTTAAAAATCTTCTTCTTACTCCTGGACATCAAGCAGTCAAACTGTTGTTATGATTGTAATCAGCATTGAGTCCTCTACTAAAATTGTGAAATTCATGGTCCCAGGTTTATGGGTTCTAGTGCTAGGACGGGGCTCTATTGATTATATAGTGAAAATGTATTATTTCTCTAAAAATCTTCTTCTCTGCTCCTTGGTATCAAATAAACTAAATAAGTACATAGTTTGGATAAGAAAGAATGTCTTTTGCCAAATTGTGAATTATTTAGCCAGGGTCAGGGGTTCTAGTGCTAGGGCTGGGCTCTATTGATTATAAAGAGAAAATGCAGAATTTGTTTGAAAATCTTCTTCTCTGCTGCTGGGTATTTAACAAATTAACTAAGTACCAAGTACCAAATGCAAATTAACGAAAAGTTATGATGAGCAAGAATGTTTCTTCCAAATTAAGGAATTTTATGGCCCCAGGGTCAGAGGTTCTGGTGTAAGGGTGGGGCTAAATTGATTATATTGTGAAGTATTAATACATGAATTCTTTGAAAATGTTCTTCTCTGCTCCTGAGTATTGAGTAAACTAACTTAGTATATAGTTATGACGAGCAAGATTGTCTCTTTCAAAATTATGAATTTTATGGTCCCAGGGTCAGGGGTTCTGATGTTAGGGTGGGGCTCTTTTGATTATATAGAGAAAATGCAGAAATTGTTTGAAAATCTTCTCTGCTCCTTCTTTTATAGCTATGATGAGCAAGGGCTATTCTTCCTGAATTGTGAATTTCTCAACGCCCCTTGGTCAGGGGTACCATAAGAGGGAGGGGGGGTCTCTACTTTATAAACTGAAAATGAATTAATTGATTGAAATCTTCTCCTTTTAATTAATCAAATATTTTTGATAAGCAAGTGTGCCTTTTCCAAAATTGGGAAATGTATGGACCAAGGATCAGGGATTCATGCGTGGTAGTGGCACCATACTGATTATTTCTGAATATTACTGATTAGTCGAAATGCATTTTTTTGTTCCCCTACTCTGTATATCCGTATTAAGTAACCAAACTAAACATGCTAAGTGTATAGTTATGATTAGAAATGGTCCCTCTTTCAAAATTGTGAATGCCATGATGTCTAGTTTAAAACATGAACCAAAGTCAATTGTTGTTAAGTTGTTGCATAATGCTCAGGTGATCTATAAGGCCCATTGGCCTCTTGTTTTTTTTTCATTTAAACGTTAAAATCACAGTGATGCAATTTAAAGGATTGATTAATTGTATGTTGTTTAACAATCCTATCGAGAATTTTCACTTATATGAGACGTCCCGGTATGCCCTTGAAGGCTTCAAATTTAGACCTTTATCGTGCCGACGCCTACAGTGACACGGGACCTACGTCTTTAAGGTCTTATCTGAAAGACCCTTGTCTTTCACTTCATGTGTCGAGCGCTTGGCGAAGGAACAGTTACTACCTATGCTCATGTCTTAGGTATGACGCGGCACCGCGAACGATAATTGAACCTGGGCCTTAGGATCACGAAGCGAACGCTCTAGACGACCTCTTGGCTACCATGACTGGTCCAATATAAAAAGAATCTTTTTGACTCATATTTTACATTTGCTTCATCAAAACTCTTTCTGCTATGGCCCTATCAAAATTCCTATTTTTTTATGGGAGATATATTTTGACTCGATCACTATGGCTCGACCAATCAATGAACGTCCTGCGAAGCTATAGTCATTAAGGACATATGCAACGTATCGTACCTACTTATAGTTTTTCAAGATATTATAAATTTAAAATTGTAGTGCCAACAGATGTTCATAGACAAAAAATTAGCAGGTTTTGAAAATTACAAAATTATATTCTAGATGTAGTGTATCCATATTTGTTTTAGAAGAAGTGTACAACGGTATATATAGACATTAAAATTGTATCACATTGTTCCTTCAAGTATTGGAACTTTTTAAATCCAGGGAAAAATACGATAACGTTCTAAAACGTTGAGTATGCCCTTAGCAAGTAATTCATTTTACATGATTTTTGTCGGTATTGTCCAGGAAATTGAGAACCAATTTTGATGACTGGTTTCAATATTTTCAAAACAGGAAAAAGACTCTTTTTGGGAGACTCTTTGGACATTAGTACCAGAGGATGATAAGACCAGGCTTTATGACAGGGACTTTGCATTAGGACTAATAGAGATGAATGAGGAAGCGAAGCATGTTCTGCACAGTTTAAAAAAATCAATTTCTGAAGTAGTATCACAAGGCATGGATACGAAATTAGAAGTTCCATCAGCCTGGGCACTTCTTGAACATCTCTTACAAACAAAGGAAAAGCCTATCTTGTCAATTAGTGACATCAACAAAGAGAATAAGAAACTTTCAGAAGAATATCAATTGAAAAGTCAAGAAGAAATATTTGATTTTCTGTCTTTTTTCCATGGACATGGATTGTTACTCTTTTTTAAGGAGGAGGGACTGAGAACCCACGCAGTTCTAGGCATACAGTGGTTTTCTAACGCATTCAGTAAGCTTATTGCTGACAAGGAACACATCAACAGGGACTGCAAACGAAGATATATAGAAGATTGGAACCATTTCAATGCGACGGGACATCTGAGCAATCCACTGTTAGATTCTCTGTGGAAAGAAGAATCGTCATATATAGAACATAAGACAATACTTATGTCATACATGGAGAGATTACGGATGTTAGTCAGCATTGAAGGAGAATCCTCCTGGTATGTCCCCTGCATGAATAAAAAGCCTTTCACACACGGTCTCTTAAAACAGACACTAGAGAAATCGTCCATTCTGTGTTTTCGATTTACTTCCTTTGCCATGTTTGTCTTCTACAGGCTTATTGCATATTGCATGAGTTTCCTGAAGTGGAAAGTTCAGCTCGATGGGTACAAAAGTCAATGTCTGTATCACACAGCGGCGATTTTCGAAACCGAAAATCACACAGTTACCGTTGGTATAATAAATAACGATATCCAGGTGCAGGTATTGCGGATTAATGATCTACAGCTCAAGGTTTCCTGCAAAATTGGAAAATCCATTCAAACTGCCTTAACAGAATTGACAGCAACATTTAATGAGAAGAAAACCTTTCAAAAAGGTTACAAATGCCTTAATCTTTTCTGCTGTGAAAAGGATCTAACTTTTATTCCTGAGAATGAACTTTCTGGAAGTCAATGCAATTGTCCTATTGGGAAAGGAAAACACAAGATAGATGTTCAATGGACTTTGGGATTTTGGGAAGATGTAAGTAAAATTATATTAGCTCAACTGACCAAGTGATCAGATCAGTATGTAAATTAGTAAATTTATAAGTTGTTAGTTTGCCGAAATATGGTTATGGTTTTATCAATTATATGAATAAAAAAAACCAGAATGATATAAAACAGATGTTTTAGACCCTAGTATTTTCTATTCCAAGCCCAGTGGGATATAGTAAGTTGAAATACCAATGAAAATAGCTATTGTTACTTGATGAATGTCGATATATACATTGTATATATATATATATATATATATATATATATATGTGTGAATGTAGAATTAAAATATGTAGAATCTCTTTCACTTAGAATTTTAAATAAATTCTACTTCATAGGAATATAAAAGCAGGTCAAATAATAAAAGAGTACAATTAGTACCTTTTGGAATTCAAAACAGTTGTAGGCAGTTGTTTTTATATTGAAACTGACTAAGGAATGTTAGGTTTACTTGACCAATACATATTACTCGATCTGGTTAGGTTTAATAATAGATCGTATTCGGATAATGATTTTGGATATTGAATTGGATGGCGTTCTTGCACATCAAAATTGCAAAAATTCCATATTGTAATATGGAAGGTGAATTAGCGATTGCAATAAGAAGCGATTTTTCTATTCTATTTCAATACAATAAAAAAATTGATTACTTGAACATCATGCATATTCTTCTAATATCCTTGAAATGGTTGTGTGAATGTAAGAACAAATGAGAAAGTCATGATGGATGTGTTTATCAAAGTGAAATTGTCTCTAATGAGGCTTGCAGGAAAGAATCAAAATTTTAATCTCGATCATTGCAGTCTACCAGATATTTGCTTTCGGATAACATCTTTCATTTTTAAAAACATTGTAGGTGTAGGTATTAACACATAACTAATTACGGCGTTCTCAATGAATCTATCTATCTATACTTTTCCCCTCTCATTTGCTTTCCTAAATCTACTGATTGAAAATGAAATCTTGTTTTCAGAGAAATTCCCGTTGCCCCCA